GGAACACTCTTCCAAAGGGCGATCAGGTGTCTACATCAATGGCGAAAAGGTCGTCGATCTTAACAGGCGCTCCTCGCGACGCGACAAGGGCGAGCGCGCCGGTGACCATACAGTCTACGTTGACAGCCCGCCACTATCGCGCACACCACCCCGCAAATACGACATACCGCGCAGCGTGCCTTCTAGCCCCCGTGAAGAGACCATCCGCGTGCGCGACTCGCGACACCGCGAAACGAGCCCAGAAGAGCGCGACAGGTCTACTTCGTCGCACAGCCGGCCTTCTATCGAAGTCAAAATAGTCAATGAACCGCGACACCGGCGACACGGGTCCAGCAAGTCGAGTTCGCAGGATGGCGATGAGGAGGAACGTCGCCGAAAGCGCAGGAACAGCCACGTTCGATTCGAGGACGAGGAAAAGAAAGATGAGAAGAAGAAGGATGAGAAGAAAAAGAAAGTACAATCCGAAATTGAACGCGCGAATGAGGATATCGCCAACCGGCCTCCTGTCCCGACCACAACGGTACCAGCCAACCCACGATACCGCCGGGGCTCAGTGGCCGTTGATCCCAACGATGCGGCGCTTGTAGTTGCGATGGACCAGATAAGCTTGGAACGCGAGCGAAAGGCCAATTTAGACCGCGAGAGGCGGCGGCGCGAGAAGCGTGAGCGCGAAGAAGAAGAGGCGCAAAGGCAGCGACTGAGAGACCGCATGGCTGGGAGCCGCCGGGCTACTGTCAGCGACTCCCGAAGTCTAGGGCGAGCTCGACAGAAGATAGTTTACGATGATGGAAGATACCGCTGGGAGTAAACCAACATAAAGCCCCCCAAAAAAGGTCAAAACAATGTAAAACTCATGCATGTAAAAGGATACGACTACGGCGTTGGATTGGATTGATGATACCTGGGCACTGCGATTATTACTTGGTTTGTATTGGATTTATTTGGTTTGACTTTTCCCTGTTTCGATAGACAATGCATGGCTGTTTTCTTTTTCTATTATTTACTGTTCAAGCCTGTATTGATATCGCTCATAGACAACCGGTTCATCACCTTTGGTCTATGAGATTTTAGGGAACTGCAAACCCGATTTTTAGAAACATTCATCTGTTTTCAATGCTTATACCATTTATATCATTTATACTATTTATACCTGTACTTATCGTACCCGCGATATCACCGAATATGTATGTAGTTACCGTAGATAGTATTATTAGATCGAGATACCCAATAGTTAGAGCTATGTAGCTTAGCTGAGCTGACTTAAGACACCCAATAGATTACTAGTATGTACAATGTTTACCTGGTCGACGTGGAGAAGTTGTTGATATTACTATTTCTGTGTGACAAACAAATTGATTCAATGGTATTTGTCAATGAATGCTACTGTCTGAGTAGCCAGGCAACGAGCTACCCCTCCATGGAAATCTCCAAAGAGTAAGACGACTCAAAATGGTCGAAGGTCAGAAAAGACAAGGGGAGGGACAATAAAAAAAAAGTTGTGCGGGATACATTTCGCTCTCCCTAGGTATTCATCCATCCAAACAACCCCCTATTATCCCACATACACACACACACACACACACACACACACACACACACACACACACACCACCATACCACATACCGGTACCACACGCATACACCCCCCTAGTTCAACTCTTTCAACCCAATTCCCACCCACGGATATTACTCACGGCCGATTGCTGCCTGATTGGCCCCTCCTCGACCTTCTCTTCCCGGTCCAGCCCGTCGAACCCGTCTTACCGATCTATTTTTCATCACATCTTTCCTGGTCTTCCCATCATCATCGTACATTATCGCATTATCCCATACTATCCACATTGAGGCCGAGAAATACTAGTCAGCGATCGACTCCCGCTCGTCCCGTAGATCCCTCACCTTTGGCTTGGTTCGGAATAGTGGCTATCCAATTTTTTTTGTCCTTTCTAATTTCTTCTCCGAAGAGTACCTACCCCTCAATCTGTCCTCAATTTCGGTCCCCTAGTCAATCATAAAGAACAATTCGCAGGCTGTCTACCTATTGGTCAGTCCACCGCCTACCTACATTGTGCTAGATTAGGCAGATCTAGGACTCTTGCAGAACCGGAGTCCCATTCTCCTCGTGGGACTGTATCTTGTTTATCACGGCATAATGCAAGCACTTGGCTACAATTTAGATATGTAGGTAGGTAGCATACGGACTCCTATAGGTTTCCATCGTACTCGATGCGTACCCCGGGCTATCTACGATGTCTTTGTCTTAGGTAGTCAAGCATGTGGTTGCGTATTGGTATCGTAGGTTAGTGGATAGCCTGAGAAGGCAGACAGATAAAGCCACATGATACCGTCGTAGGAATGTCCCCGCGTCGCATTCCGCTTGTCGATCTTGTTAGCGAATGCCATCTTCGGGTCTAGACCAGCGCCGCCATATTATAGGACCTACATGGACCGCCACTCACTGGCATTGTCAACAACCAGACAGCGATCTGTGTGGCGAAAGGAATCATATAATGATATAATGATCTTCTAGACGGATAGGTCAAGTTGGCTAGCCGCCTTACACGGTCGGGTTCGGGAGATCCCTTACGTCGCTATCCATATTCTAGACAAACTTTTCTTTTACCTTTATAAAACAATAGCCAGCAGTTCTGCCATTCCCATCGCCGGCGACGTTCCCACTGGTCGACGGCAAGTTACATCGACCGGCTTGGCGGCCTAAAGAATTTTATAGGAATGATGGCATGGGATTGTCAAATTTCATGATACCACACCCACTCCCAGTCGTAGAGAGAGGTGCCCCATCGACTTCTCCCTATAACATCACCACACCCAACCCAGGCCAGGGTAACTAGTAGGACTCGAAGGGGTCCCGTGGCTTGATACTCACCCACACTTGGACTTGTAGGTGGGGTGGAGTGGCGCACACTCGGCGAGAGACGAATCGACCGTTGCTTGCTATCGGTCTCGGCTCGGGATCCGGGCTGTGACGCATGGCTACCTGCAGCACACCTAGGATATACAACCTTGCTTAACCCTTACCCGCTATATACCTATGCACACATACGGATAGCGGTAGTGGGAAAGTCAACCTAACTCTACACGATCAGACGAGCATCGGCTCCATGTGGGGATGTGGAGAACGTCAGAAATCGAGCTTCTATGTGCATGTGTGGTGGGGGTTTGCTCTGAGACATGCGTTTCTGTCGAGTCACGCCGCACGTCGCTACGCATACTTTACATATCCATGCTGAAGATCTTGTTAATCTTGCGTTATACTCCCCGTTATTGGCCAACCCTATAGAAGCAGGTTAGGGTTTGGAGGGATGGGTCGAGTTTATAGTATCACACCGTAAACTATACGAACGGGTGAGTCATCCTAGTAGTCAGATGCTGGTTGGATAGTATTGCAAATCATCCTGCACGATGCCATTGCCTTTACTACATCAACACATGGTTATCTCTGTTGATGAATTTTGTAGTATTAAGGAGCAACGTATGTTTCTATGTAATAGTATATTGTCTCACAAAGCCTTGGTAGTTAATACAACAAGCTTTCCATATAAGTCTTACTACGAATCCTTTGATATAAGTATCGATCTCCATGTGGACTATAAGTGGTTAAGACTAAGACTAGGGACCAAGCAACTACCGTAGGTGCCAAGAACGCTATACTATTGAAGCAGCATCTCCCTGCAAACCCTTTCGGTGAGTACATAGCAACCCGCATAACTCCAGTTTACTAAACCGTCTTAGCCACTCACATCCTTACCCGGGGAAGCAGGTTGTTGGAAACGCCTCGTTATTAGTCCAAGTCCTAGATTGTCTATGAAGCTAGTTATAAGCTAGTTATCATACAGTAGCTTAAACACTAGTAGCCCCGTTGTGTTTATAGTATTGTGAGGGCTCCTATAGAGATGTAGTATAGACAGGCCTTATGTCATTGTAACGTTAGAATTTACTATTGCGCATTATCCCTAAACTGTTATTTGTTATTACTCAAAACTTGGTGCTAGGCAGTGCTTATTAGGTGACATGGGTCAACTGTCAGCTTCATCCAACAACCTACTATGTCCCTGGTCTTTTGTATAGCTGAGCCCCTTGATGCTAAGACAAAGTTGGGTAGAAGGCGGCTCAGCCGCAGAGGGGTGACAAATTAATTCAATTCTCGTGCTATCGTATAAGTAATGTAAGACTAGAATGCGCTGGCCGTGTATATGTAAAATAACAAGTTATTTTTTCAATTTCATTTCTAGTAACGATTTACTTATTCACATTTTTTGATATACCAGTCCGATGTTTTCCATATGTCTCGATCGTAGAATGCGAGGGCAAAGTTATATCAGCAGAAGGAAATTGAAGCTATCTAACTGGGCAGGATTGAATAATGACTTCTAAAGGTCCTAGAGCTTCTCATAAGACTTGTTCAGTATATGAAAAGATACTACGGTTCGAAACCCAGCCTGAAGACGTGTTCGCGACACCACACCATGCATCACGTCGCTCCTTAGAGGCATCAGTGGAATCGTGTCGACTATGTTCCATGGTACTTCGCGCTGCGATATCTGGCTATCAAGACTCACGGAGTAGAAGAAATGGATTGGGCTACTGGAGACAATTTAACGCCATAAATTACCATGAAGGCTCCAACGTCGCAAAATCACATACGTGAAGGAGTCTGGACCATGCATGCCCGCTACGTCGACGGATGGTAATAATGGCCTTGAGAGAGTAGTTTTGGCGGCAACAGGCAATATCAAAACAGACGATAATCATGTAGACGACGATACTATAAACCTTGAATCATTGAATATTGATGAAGAGGATTCGGCCGATTTACCTGTGTGGCTTTATGGTAGTTGGTGGGCTAAGCGCGAGCCGGGTGGCACTGGCGATACGACCCATCTGTGACTTATGGAAGTAGGAGCTCGGTCTGGAAAGACTCAAAGCTAATCCAATGCTTTCAATAACAGACGTGACCAAGTTAGCCTGCGTGGAAGCTCTATTGGGATCTGTACCAGCGATGGTAAGTAGATGCCTAGGTAGATCCCCAGTCAAGGCTAAGAATTAACGAGTTGGCCCCTTAAAGATAACATGTTCAACACAATACCGGGCCGCCTACTTGAGGTAGAATCTGACTCGGATATCGCGATTAGCCGTCTTAAGAAATGGATGGAAGACTGCGAATTAAATCACCCCTTCTGCGGACGTCCGCGATAAGCCAAGTCTATCTCAATTCCCATCTAACGATATCAGCGGCTGCTTCAAAAGACAGTTATTCCGGTTGTTTTCCAAAACGTGAGAAGGATTCGTATGCCACTCCTGCAAACCTATCTCTCGGGCATGGCACTCCAAGAGAAGCGACGGAGCTGAGGAGCCACGAGCTAGTATACGAACACACTTCTCAGCCCGGGAAAAAGAACTTGATTCATCTGTTCGAGGAGTGGTTTCTGGGATCTAGCTTCCACTTCCCTCAAAGAACGGAGATGGGGTCGTTCGGCAAGCGATACGACCCGACCGCTGACGAAGCTCTCAGCTCGCGGGCATGGACTCTGCAGGAACGTCTGCTTTCTCGGCGTCTTATCCACTACGCCCGTGATCCGATGTATTTTGAGTGCGAGGCTTGCATTTACTCCGAAGATGGGTTCACGTTTGGTGATATTTACTTTGGGATGAAACGCCTCCTGGACACGTAGCGTATATCCCATAAGCAGCACGGGCTTTCTCAAGCATCCGGAATCTCTTTTATCGTCGGCCAAGAGGCTGGGGGGAAGTACCCTGGAATTAAGTGGCAAGGGGATGGCTCTCCTTGGTCGAGAACTATACGATGCGCAATTTGACTGTGTAGCGCGATAAGCTCACTGCGTTGGCTGGTGTGGCGAGAGCAGTGGCAGAAGAGACACGGGATTGCTACTACGCGTGCTTATGGCAGAAACAATTCATGGAAAATCTATGTTGGCGGATGCATCCCTACGAAGAGATAGAGGATCGAAGGGATGCGAAGATCACGCCGCTAACGGGGAAACACTTGGGGACTGTCCGTAGGCCGGCCGGCCGAATATCGAGCGCCTAGTTGGTCGTGGCCATCTCTTGACGGACCTGTCATGTATATTACGTTATCTTTCAGGAACTTAGTCTCCTCGATCATTAATTGCTCAACTGTTTCCGCCGGCAAAGACCCCTATGGTAGGGTATCGAGTGGTAAGCTGGATATAGAAGTGAGGCGGATTTTCCAATAAGTCAAAGCACCCTTACAGGGGCCACCCTAGTGGGGGCCACCTCAAAAACGCAACGCGTTTGTAATAAGATTTATATATAAATTATTATATAATTTTATTAATTTTTAGTTAATTAAAAAATAAAATTTATTATTTAAATCCTTATTTTTTTACGATTTTAAAATGCCTATTTTCTTAGCTTAATTATATTACGCTGCAGTAATAAACGACGTTTTTAACGGCATATCTTTACGGTAAGCGTTTAAAAAATATTTTATATTATAATACTATTTTACGAACCAAATATTAAGCTATAAAATATAAAACGACTATTTAAAGAAATGTTAAAAACTATCAAAATATTAAAAAAAAAATTTAACCAATTAAGTTGTTACGTTAAACCGTATTAGCTATATATTTCTTTTATATCGATTTAAAAATATTATAAAAAAATTATTAGTTTATAATTATTGAACTGGTACTAGTGTATCAGGTGATCTTGACCCTGATCATATAATCATATTCTTAGTATAAATATTATTTATGGTCGTACATACTTATTTTATATAGTATTATTTATTTTTAATATAAATTATTTTTTTTTATTAGTTTTATTATTTAAAAGTCTTTAATATTAGGTTTAATAGGGTTTGATTTAAGGTTAAAACGTTTAAGTCTTGTTTAATGGCGATTTTTAACAACTTAAACCCGCAACACCAATCTTAAAAAAACCGTTATTATCAAAAATATCTTATTGTGGCTTAATCGGGTAACCTCCCATAATCCATAAGGTTTACAATATATTAATTAATAGCCAAATCCATGATAGTTTTATTGATATCTTTAACCAATAATTTAAATATAAATTAAATGATTTGATTAGATGATTTAAGTTTTATATTAGTTATATTAGTTTATTTAGAAATATTTATTTATTAATTAATTTAGTTATATTTTAATATATTAATCAATATATATAATATAGCCTTATTAAGAACCTTATTTATAACTTTATTAATAACTTTAACAATTACGTTATTTATTAATTAAATTAATATGATTTTTAAGATACCAATATTCTTATACTTTAAATTGAGATATACGAGATATAATACAATTTAAAAAACATTATTATATTAGGATTTAATTATTAGTTTTAGGATATGTAAAGGCCATGGTATATCTTAACTAGTTAAATATTAGGAAATAAAAAATAACTTTATTAAATACGTAAAAAGATTACAAAAATAAAATCGGCGAAAGTATTAGTAATTATTACGTTTAAGATTATATTTCAAATTATTTAAAAATAATATATAATATTTTTTGGGTTATATTATACCCAGTATACAAAATAATTAATTATAGGAAATTAATAATAAAGGAGGTAAATTAGTTAGTTAATTGATAAATTACTAGGTTTATTATAAGGAAAATAAGAGTTTAATTAATATTAAAATTTATTTAAATTAATATTAAGATATTAAAAAAAATAAATAGTTTAATTACAAAAATTATATGATATTAGGATAAGAGAGGGAATGAGATTAGCTAAGTTTATTATAAAGAAAATAAAACCATATAATAATCCTTTTATATAATTCTTATACCACGATTTTTATATATATTTAATTTAATAGTAAATATTATAATCGAACTTATTATTATATGATTTTATATGGTTAAGGGATATGATTTAATAATATTAGATATTTGATTAATAAATTTTAATTAAATTAGTTAAATTATATAGTATATAAATTTATTTAAAATATAATTTAAAACTTAATAATACTTAAGATATTAAGAAGGTTATACTATAAAATTGATGATTAAAAGTTTTAATAATCCTAATAGTTTAGGTAGTGCGAAATTTTTTTTTTAAAACCTAGGATTTGATCTTTATTTATATTATTTTGTTTTTTTTTTTTAGATCCCAACCCCTATTTCATGGGTTAAATTTGATTTTATAACCTTGATAAAATTTAAAAAAAGGTTATAAATTAATGTTAATATATTAGGTAATCTTAACCTTAATTATATAATTATATTTTTAATATAAATATCATTTATAATCGCATATACCTATTTTACATAATATTATCCACTTTTAATATAAGTTATTTTTTTTCATCAATTTCATCATTTAAAAATCCTTAATATTAGGTTTAATAAGATTTGATCCAAGGTTAAGACGTTTAAGTCTTATTTAATGGCAACCCCCAACAACTCAAACCTGCAATATTAGTCTTAGAAGAACCGTTATTGTCGAAAATGCTTTATTATGGCCTGATCGGGTGGCCTCCCATAATCCACAAGGCCCACAATATATTAATCAATAGTCAGATCCACGATAGCTTTATCAATATCCTTAACCAATAATCTAAATATAAGTTAGATAATCTAATTAAACGATTCAAACCTTATATTAATTATATTAATTTATTTAAAAATATTTACCTATTAATCAATTTAGTTATATTTTAATATATTAGTTAATATATACAATATAACCTTATTAAAAACCTTATTTATAACCTTATTAATAGCTTTAATAATCACGTTATTTATTAATTAAGTTAATATAATTTTTAAAATATTAATATTTTTATATTTTAAATTAAGATATATAAGATATGATATAATTTAAAAAACATTATTATATTAGGATTTAATTATTAATTTTAAGATATATAAAGGCTATAATATATTTTAACTAATTAGATATTAGGAAATAAAAGATGGCCTTATTAAATATGTAAAAGGATTACGGGGATAAAATTAGCAAAAATATTGGTAATTATTATATTTAAGATTATATTTTAAGTTATTTAAGGATAATATATAATGCTTTTTAGGTTATATTATACCTAATATATGAAACAATTAATTATAAGAAATTAATAATAAGGGAGGTAAATTAACTAATTAATTAATAAATTATTAGGTTTATTATAAGGGAGATAAGAGCCCAATCAATATTAAAGCTTATTTAAATTAGTATTAGGATATTAAAGGAGGTAAATAGCTTAATTACAAGGATTATATAATACCGGGATAAGAAAAGGAATAAGATTAGCCAAATCTATTATAAGGAAGGTAAAGTTATACAATAATCCTTTTATATAATTTTTATATTATAATCTTTATATATATTTAATTTAATAGTAAATATTATAATTAAACCTGTTATTATATAATTTTATATGGCTAAAAAATATGATTTAATGATATTGGATATTTAATTAATAGATCTTAATTAAATTGGTTGAATTATATAATATATAAATTTATTTAGGATATGATTTAAAACTTAATAATACCTAGGATATTAAGAAGGCTATATTATAAGACTAATGATCAAAAGTTTTAATAGCCTTAATAGCCTAGGCAGTGCAAAATTTTTTTTTTAAGGCCTAGGATTTAATTCCCATTCGTATTGTTTTATTTCTTCTTTTTTCAGATCCCAACCCCTGTTTCGTAGGTTAAATTTGATCTTATAACCTTAATAAAATTCAAAAAGAAGTTATAAACTGGTATTAATATATTAAATAACCTTAATCTTAATTATATAATTATATTTTTAATATAAATATCATTTATAATCGCACACACTTATTTTATATAATATTATTCATTTTTAATATAAATTATTTTTTTTCATCAATTTTATTATTTAAAAATCCTTAATATCAAATTTAATAAAACTTGATTTAAGGTTAAGATGTTTAAGTTTTATTTAATGGCAACCCCTAACAACTTAAACCCGCAACACCAATCTTAAAAAAACCATTATCGTTAAAAATACCTTATTATAACCTAATCAAATGGCTTTCCATAATTTATAAGGCCTACAATATATTAATTAATAACCAAATCCATAATAATTTTATTAATATCTTTAACCAATAACCTAAATATAAACTAAATAATTTAATTAAATAATTTAAACCTTATATTAATTATATTAACTTATTTAAAAATATTTATTTATTAATTAATTTAATTATATTTTAATATATTAATTAATATATATAATACAACCTCATTAAAAACCTTATTTACAACCTTATCAATAACCTTAGCAATTATATTATTTATTAATTAAATTAATATAATTTTCGAAATATTAATATTCTTATACCTTAAATTAAAATATACAAAATATAATATAATTTAAAAAATATTATTATATTAAGATTCAATTATCAATTTTAAGATATATAAGGGTTATAGCGTATTTTAACTAGTTAAATATTAAAAAATAAAAAATAACTTTATTAAATGCGTAAAAGGATTACGGGGATAAGATTGGTAAAAATACTAACAATTATTACGTTTAAAGTTATATTTCAAATTATTTAGGGATAGTATATAATACTTTTTAGGTTATATTATATTTAGTATATAAGATAATTAATTATAAGAAATTAATAATAAAGGAGGTAAACTAACTAATTAATTAATAAGTTATTAGGTTTATTATAAAGGAGGTAAGAGCTTAATTAATATTAAGGTTTATTTAAATTAATATTAAGATATTAAAGGAAGTAAATAACTTAATTATAAAGGTTATATAATATTGGGATGAGAGAGGGAATGAAATTAATTAAGTTTATTGTAAAGGAGGTAAAACCATATAATGATTTTTTTATATAATCTTTATATTACGATTTTTATATATATTTAATTTGATAATAAGTATTATGATTGGATTTGTTACTATATGATTTTATATGGTTAAAAGATATGATTTAATAATATCAAATACTTAATTAGTGGATTTTAATTAAGTTGGTTGAATTATATGGTATATAAATTTATTTAAGATATAATTTAAAACCTAATAATACCTAGGATATTAAGAAGGTTATACTATAAGGCTAATGATTAAAAGTTTTAATAACTTTAATAGTTTAAGTAGTGCGAAATTTTTTTTTAAGGCTTAAGATTCGATCCCCACTCATATTATTTTATTTTTTTTTTTTTTAGGTTTTAGTTTTTATTTTATGGGTTAAATTTAATCTTATAGCTTCGATAAAATTCGAAGGGAAGTTATGAATTGGTGTTGGTATATTAAATAACCTTAACTTTAATCATATAATTATATTCTTAGTATAAGTATTATTTATGGTTGTATATACTTATTTTATATAATATCATCCACTTTTAATATAAGTTATTTTTTTTCATTAATTTCATCATTTAAAAGTCTTTGATATCAGGTTTAATAAGGTTTGATCCAAGGCTAAGACGTTTAAGTCTTGTTCATTATTAATTTAATATCCTTGGTAAATATTGGTATATATAATTTTTATTTTATTATTTTAATATTAAATTAATTAAAGTCTATTTAATTGATTATAAATGAGTTAACAGGGTTATAACTAATAATATTAATATCTTTTTTAATTAATTCAAAACCTTTAAAATCAAAAATATCCCAGTTAAGTATACGTATAATATTAACGAAATAGGGATTATGGAAGGGGTTAGGAATAATAGGATAGTTATTAGTAAAATCTATAAAAAACATATCGTAATTAAAAATTATAATAATAAAATTTAAATATTAATTATTAAATATGTTAATGGTAATAATTGATCTTTAAATTTCCTTATTATATATATAGATAAATACATATAATAACAATAATTTCTTAATAATAAAAACGTTAAATTTAAAAACTAAAAATTTACTACATCTTTTAATAATTAAATTAATAATAATATTATATTTAAATAACTTTATAAAATTTTTTTAAAAAAAACGAAACCATTAAATTGTTAATAATAGTAATTATTAATCCTTAATAATTATAATAATTATATTATAATAAAATTTTTTTAAAAATACTTTATAAATAAAATTTATATTATCTTTATCTTGATATATTTATTATACGTCTTATAGGTTATTAACGTAAATATATTTTTATTAATAAAATAAAATTATTGTTATAAACTTATTAAAATATATTAATTATATTATATTTTTAATCTCGATAAAAAGAAATTTATTATAACTTATTAAATAATACAAAAAAAATATTTAATTAAATATAATATATTAGTTAATTAAAAAACTATAGAAATCTATTTTAAAAATTGAAATAAGCTATTAAATTACCAGCTTATACTCTAAAAAACTTCTAATATTACCCTAATTTCCTTAAACTTTATTTTTAATTTAAAAAAACTTAATTTTATCGAAAATATAGCTTTAATTCCTTTAATAACGCCTTTAAATTTACAAAATATTAATATTTTAGCTAAAAAATTATTTAAAATCGATATAATATTTATTAAATTTATAACAAAACTTTTATTTAATAAAATTGGTAAGGTTTTTAATAAAACTACTATAAAATTAACTATAATAAAGACCTACGCCAAATATTTAAAAAAGACATTAATAAATATAAAACTATAAAAACGACACAAAATATTACCTAACCCAAATTTAACGTTTATAAATATTAAAACTATTATAAAAAAAAAAAGTAATTAAAAGCTTAAGAATTAAGTAATATAGTTATAATTAATAATTCCAACATTAATTTAAAAAATAAAGCTTTATTAATTAAATTAATAGTAGAAAATTATATTATTATTAAAATATAATAAATTATAAATTAATTAAATTTAATTTAATTAAATAACGTTAAATTAAAATTAAAATATTTATTTTGAAGGTTTAAAAATTTGAGGTGGCCCCCACTAGGGTGGCCCCCGTAAGGGTGCTTTGACTTAATAGCAATCTAGGCGCACAGCTGGCTGACGGTTTAAAAGGGGCCCATATACGAAGTTAAACCCCATACGCCGAGGAAGAGGTGGGATCGACACGGCATCCCGGTGGACATCGATCTTGAAGATGACCGCGGTATATCGGCCGGGAGCTTGCATCTAGACGTACCAGAAGAGTCGATCTCGTACCCCTGCTACGCTCTGTTCCTGGATCCCTCGAAAGCGCTAATCCTGCGAACTAATAAGCTGGAAGCTAAGCGGAATGAAGACGGAACTAAAGACCTAAATGTTCTCGTCTCTAAGCCAGTTCTGACGACCTCTGATGTCAATCGCAACATAGCCGAGCATCCGGAGATGAAAACTTTTGTTTTCCAAGCCATGCACCAAGTTGTTCGCATCGGAATAAAAAGTTTTATCAAAGAGCCGACGAAGAATAAAGACTATTTTGAAAATGAAGATGAGAAGGAACCGGAGTTGTGGGACGAGGCAAAGCAGGGAAAGCTGACACTAGATAAGATCCTACATGTCGAGGGAGACCAGTCGTGGGGGCTGGTTACAAAGGATGATCCCCAAATATGGGTAACAATAGTGTAATCAATCATATTTGAATTCTGCTATATAATCCAATCACAGAGGCTCATTGGTTAAGCTTCCTAACCCCTTGCCCAGTAGTAATCGCCTTCGCTAATGTGAAATAAGATACTCATAGCCGTACTCTAGATTTAGTATAGGTGATCAGTCCGGGTGTTACAACGAAACTCGCCCAGAACCGAGTAGTAAGGAACCGCATTCATCCTTCATTCCTCCGAAACTCTCCAGACGAGCTTCTCTCCGCTCACCCCTCCCGTTCGAAGTAATTCCAACGCCTTGGTAGCCCTCTCCAGCAGGGTACGTCCTTCAACTACGCGGATGCGATTCGGTACCACGTGGCCGGCAGCCAGCATCTGAGGCATAATCTCTAGTTGTAGTTTTTCCTTGAAGAGAGGGTTCTAATTGGTCAGGTTATGGTTAGTTCATGCCGACCTTTCGGAAAATTGGAAAGGGGTAAGACGTACTCTCCAGTAAAAGAACGTTCGCACGCCGCGTACATTGACGCCTTCTGCCCACTGAGCGCTGGTGCTTGCATCCATCGAGTACTCGGGTACTTCTGTCTCCGTTGCGTGCTTCAAGATGACCGGTAGCATAATCGCGACAGTCGTACCGCTCTGGGCGATCTTGGAAATTGGACCAACCGATCCATCTTGTGAGCCGATGCAGTCGACTATCAGTGGAAAAGCCGGGGAATCCCCTTTCTTATATGCCTTCAGTAAGTCATCTACTATTGTTGGACTTCTATAGTCAAAGGCTTCTTCGACGCCTAAATTCTTCAGGAATTCGTGATGGCGTGGCGATGCGGTCGCAATCAAGTGACGGTAACCATAGAACTTCAGTACTTGGATAGTAAGTTGTCCTACCGAGGACGCAGCACCCCATATCAAGATGGAGTCATCAGCCCTAGGTGGGACGTAGCCTTCGGGCTTCGGCCACGGAGTAGGGAGTCCCAAGTCAGTGGATATGGTATTAAAAGCTGTGACGAAGTTCTCTGGAATCGTAACAGCCTCTTCCATCGAGAAGTTATCGGGGATCTGTCGATATATTAGCTTTTATACCATAATAGGTTTGGTCTTGTCTTCAGAAATGTCACGAACCTTTCCAAAAACCCATTCAGGAGCAGTGGCGTACTCCTGATGACTTTTCCACTTCGGTTGCTGATGAGCAAAACCAATCACTCTATCACCAACTCGCAAGTGTTTTACATTAGGACCAACTTCGACAACAGTGCCAGCTGAGGTTGATCCAGTTCTATATGGCGTTTCTATCAAGAGCCCACCGTCTGCCTGATGAAGGTCTAGGGGTGTAGAAGCCGTCCACTTGACGTGGACACGGACTTCGTCGCCTACTGGCGAGATCGTAGGGAATTGATGGATTTCATAGGGGGCTCGGGGAGCCACTATGACAAGACCGTTATGTGTTGGAGTTGTCATGGCGTATTTCTTAAATTCCTACCAACGTATCAATGGGATATTGAGTTAGTCTATGTTGCTGCCGCTGAATGGTTCATTTCAGTTCTGCGAAAACAGCTTCGGCTTTATATTCGAAGACCTGCTTACAAATGTTACCTCCTTTCTAGAAAGAGTGAGTGTATTTATAATCGATAGTATGGGGCTGTTGTATACATAGGTAGTTATATAGAATCATTTACACTAATCCTGTTTTGGGTTGTAGCACTCATGATTCTAGCTAACATGTTGTTTGAAAGTTTTAAAGAGTTTAGGTAATAGTATGATCAAATAATAGAGTAAAAAAATCATGAAAAAGTCATTTAAGCCGAGTACCTACATACTTAATGTTCTATCTCGAGTAAGTAATGTTGTTCCTTGAATATTCTACAAGTTTCGATTGCTCTTTTGACCGGTCGACACACGATAGCCCCGCTCTTGCTTGTTAACACGATGGGAAATATTTGATAGTCAATTCCTATTGTTTAATATTAGTATAATCATGTAATTTATTTAATTTAATTTATGTAGCTTGAAACATGTTATGCCTGTCTTTTTGGGTTAGACCGAGACATTTTATGTGGAAGTTAAGGATAAGTTGTTCTGCCCGCATATACTAATACTATGATAACTCATTGATACTATGAAGAACTACCTATACTTAAACTCTGTAATACAATTCGGATGTGTACCTCTGCGTTGCTTGGGACATATGTTACATGAAAGAGTTAAGATATTATAATTCGTTATTATTAAACACGATTTAGTAGTACAAGTGCTATGAGTTAGATATCAAACATTTTTCCTGGTTCCTAAACTCCATTCCACATCTCTTCTTAATACGCAACTTGTGCGTTAAGCCCAGCTAATTCTCTTTCAAAGTTCCTATGTTGCGAAACTTGGTACCAGAACTTCTCCAAGAGTCCTGCTGCCTCCTTTGCGATCGTAACGGTCTCCTTCAAATTGTTAGGGGACACATTACTCATGGTAACGACGCCATATGACTCAACCGCCTGCTCATTTCTCGACACCTGAATCTCTGGTAATGCGAATGCCAATTTGAATAACTCGACTGCTTCGCCTGTACCTCCAATGGCCTTCAGATGTCCGAAAGCTTCGCGGAGCCAATGCAAAGCACGGCCGCTCTTAGAAAGAGTCTTGATCGATTCAGCACCGCCAGGAACGAATACTGCATCGAACATGGTGGACCGCATGCCTTCGAGGTGGTGGTCGGGTTTCACACCACTACCTGGTGTCTTTGATGCACCAGCTGGGAATATCTCGGACCTGCGTGTCCCAATAGTGAAGGGCAATGCACTAGACGCTTTGACCCCAGCCTTAACAGCGCTGTAGACAGTATTGTCAAAGCCGTCTGCAATAATAATAGCAATGCGTCGGCTAGCAATCGTCGGCTTTGCTGGCGGGAATTCAAGCTGGCTAAGCTTACTAGCTTTCTTGCCGTGGTTCGGTCTGGTTCCCTTCTCGGGCTTCGGTCCTCCGACCAGTTCGGCTACAGTCTGAGCAAGTGCCAAATCGATATCGGCTAATCGTTGAGTCATGCGCTCGTAGACAATTGGATCGTCGCAGTGGTCTAGTTCGAATGAGAATGCGGCGGCAACGTGGTTCTTCTCAGGTTCGGATAAGCTGTTATAGAACAATTGGGCCTGGTTGTAATGCTCTCGGAATTTTACACTCTTGGCTCGCGCTTTGATACCTTGGACATTGAAGGGAGGCTCCGGGTATGCCCCTTCTTGTGCAGTGGCCGGTGGCCGTGCCTCGAATCTGTTGGGCCAGTAGTTAACTTGTCCTTTGGTGATAGTGTGTCTCCCTTGGCCATCACGGTTGAAGTTCATAACGGGGCAGACCGGCTTGTTAATAGGAAGTTCTTGCCAGTTGATTCCAAGACGGGATAGCTGTGTATCGAAGTAGCTAAAGCTACGTCCTTGCAATAGAGGATCGTCCGAATGAGTAATTCCAGGAACCATGTGCGATGTGCAGAATGCAACCTGTTCGGTCTGAGGGAAATATTCATCCACGTTTCTGTTAAGTTCGAGCTCGCCAATGTATCGGACCGGGATAAGGTCCTCGGGCCAAAGCTTCGTCGCGTCGAGAATATCAAAATCAAATTCGTGCTCTCGAGACTCTGGGATCACCTGAATGCCGAACTTCCACTTTGGATAAGCGCCATTCTCAATCGCCTCCCATAAATCCTTGCGATGGAAGTCGGGATCTTGACCTGCTATCTTCAAGGCCTCATCCCAAACTAACGAGTGAACACCTAGGTCGGGCGTGAAGTGGAATTTGACGAAGTGACGCTCGCCCTTTTTGTTAACTAGAACAAAAGTGTTTACACCAAAGCCCTGCATCATCCTATATGATCGCGGAATCGTTCGGTCTGACATCGTCCACATAAACATGTGGGTAGCCTCGGTATGCATAAACACGAAATCCCAGAAGTTGTTGTGAGCTGACTGGGCCTGCGGTACCTCATTGTGAGGCTCGGGCTTCACAGAGTGAATAACATCCGGGAATTTGATAGAGTCCTGTATAAAGAAAACCGGGATATTGTTTCCAACGATATCCCAGTTGCCCTCTTGCGTATAAAACTTGACGGCAAACCCACGCACATCACGTACGGTATCGGCGCTACCGCGAGACCCTGCTACGGTGGAGAATCGAACAAAAACAGGCGTCTCACGAGAGGTATCCGTAAGAATTCCTGCCATTGACACGTCCTCGGCGCTCTCGAATAATCGGAAGTTGCCGAATGCACCAGCACCTCGTGCATGGACAACCCGTTCGGGAATTCGTTCGTGGTCAAATCTGTGAATCTGTAGTAGAGGTTAGTGATAGTTCAAGCAATGGAAGCAAGTAGTCATAACCGACTTTTTCTCTACCAAACGAGTCCTCTAGAAGCATAGGACCCGTCTTATCATTAGTAGTTACTCGTAACCATTCGTCGACATTGCCTATCTTGATGCCAAAGTCGGAAGTAATCCTATCCTTGGGCGACACCGTCTGGGTGACGGTGTCAAGGTCAGCGACCTTGCGGCCTTTCTCTCCGCCAACCATACTTTTTACTTTGTCTGCTGTATCTGATAGGATACTCGATGACATAAGGGGCAGTTAGGCGAAACCAAGTCAGGGGGATTCAATAAGTTACGGTGAAGAAGAGCAGAAGAGCAGAAGAGGAACCGGGAAACTTTGCGGATGCGTCTACATCTCCTTCTTGTACTAGAAATGTAGATTTCTTACTGCCGCATCTGTCCGCATTTCCAAGAGGACCTCAAGTGGTCACCATCTCACATAGAATTGAGAATTGTGCATGTCGTTGACGTCAAGAAATCATCACGACCGCGAAAAGGGCTGAGTTAAGACTGAATGCCGAGCTATGTGTGGATATAGTAAAGCGATATAGTGGATTGATTTGCCAATTCGCAAGTGAACCCCGAGTGTTTCATACAATAATCAAAAGTGTTGATGTAATATATGATACCTAGAGTAGCCATCTCGTCATATCCCTGTCATCTTGAGCTGGACCGTTGCAAGAATGAACCAATCACAAAGGCCATATTAGAACGCGACCACCACATCGGGAAAGCTCGGTTATCTGCCGAGACTACGTAGCATCACGGTCAACCGGGCGCCCAATTACTCGGCAGGAATTAGTGATGATGGATCTGGACATGGCAATAAACGTGGCGTTTTCAGGGGCAAGTGTTCCTAACTTATGGCTCAATGGACTATTCTAATTGGCCAATCCCTGAGTGTGCAGTACTTCGTACAATATATTTATCAAGAGATATTCTGGAAAAGAAATCACCACATATAGGGAGACCTTTAATTCATTTATGTCCAATGCCGCGTGGTTAAGCCGAAGAGGGGTTTATAAAAGAAACCTCCACGATATACCCCCTTGCACTGCGTTTTATTCATTGTCAAGCTTTACTAGAGTAGGTATACCCATCAGAGCAGTATTTTGAAGCAATTCGACTAGTTAATATGATTGAAGAATATATGTTAAGTATAAGAATTGTGTCCTCTGCTTCTACCATGATGACTTGAATATCACTCTAATTTTGGCTTCTAATATGGAGAAGATTCGTTAAGGCATGACAAATCTTATATAGCAATCTATTATTTCAACCCTCTTAAATACACAAACGCTGGAAAACTGGATGGCGAGACCAACGATCCACAACCACCAAACATGGCAAACGAGGGTTTAGGTTTGAACTACCAAGAATTCCCATAGGAAAAGAACATTGTCTATTAGCACTTAAGACAGCTTGAAAATCAACCATCGGATACAGCACGTGAGAAAAATAAACTTAAGTCATAAGATACTTATTTTTACGGAGTAGATATTAAATCACCTACGAGTACCATGCGAAAACGCCGTTCGCTTCCCCAGCCTTGCCCGGGTATCATAAGAAAACAAAAAGCCATTGATCCGGATTCATGTATCCGCGACGTCCCTGCCCCGACCCCATCTTAATAGCCCTCCTAATGAAATATCATACACCGTTATCGCCCAAGCTTCCTAGTGTACCTAACCATCATGATCAAGATAGCTCCTCTATGACCCACTTGTATTGCCGCTCTTGAAGCCGCGCCGTTATCCAGACTTCTTTGTGACTACTAGTATCCATTGGGTACCAACTAGCACCGCTTTATTGTTGCATATGGTAACCTGATGGACCCGGGGTATAGAACTGATTCTGGGTCGATGGATTCGCCTGAGGTACGAATTCGAGCATGTTAGATTGCCCCTGGGCTATCACGTTGTGTAGCTGGCCACCAAAAGAAGTTGGTACCGTGGGATTGAAATTGTACGGATTCGTGGCATTCTGAATTTGGCTGAATCCATTGGATTGTATGGCTTCAGCTTGCGGTAACCCCATGTCTAAATTAAAGTCCACTGGTATATCTCCGTTACCAGCGGTCGATGTTAGATTTGGGTGCCATCCGTATGGCGTATAATCTGACGAAGCATTGCTGTTACCCGGGAGAGAATAAGGCAAGGGTACGTCAGGTCCTACAACTGAGTTAGGATCTTGGCTATACAGATCTTCCGTGGGAGAGAGTGTGGGTTGCATCAGGAGGGTATTCATGTTACTGGGAGCATACCCCGCTGGAGCCTCCTGATGTCCCTGCGACAGACCCTCCGTATATCCAGTATAACTTGGATCCGACTGGAATATATTCTCTCCCGTGTCTATGTTTTCCCCTGTGTCGCTATCCGTCTGGCTATCCTTTTTTCTTCTGTCACTTTGTGCGTCTAAGTGACCAGGAGTCTTGTTACGCTTCGGATCACGGCCACGCTTCTTGGTAGTCGAAATTTTGTTTTCGAAGGCTGTAGATCGTTTCTTGACGTTTCCGTAGATTTGACCATTTCGATCTACAAGTTCTCCGCTCTTGGTTGCCTTGATACCATTTTCTTGGGCGACTCGAATCCCAATGGCGTTCTGAACGTCACGCTCTCCGTTCAGCTTTCGGTTCGTGGCCTTTTGCTTTTAGAGTGTCAGCCATATTCTCCTTGAGTAATCTTGCATCGGACTTACGTTAAGCTCCGTTCTTGGACGCCAAGCAAGACGGTGTTTGAAAGTAGCATCTTTGAAGAGGGAAATAACAACATCCTTAGACAACTAAACCGGTAAGTGTTAAGACAATAACAATCTCAGGGGATCATGAAACATACTCTAAGGGCGTCGCAAACTGCTTGGAACCTCTCCATAAAGGATCCGTACGAGTTATACGGGGGCTCCTTGCAATAGAGGTAGTTTGGAAGCCTACACTGTCCTACCTGTGCGTCGCGTGTCGACATCTGGACTAATATTAGCATGGGGACTCGATTCAAGGTTGTATAATCTTACCAATAAAGGCCAGAGAGCCAACTCAAACTCCAGGTCAGCATAATTCCCTTGCCGGAGACGCCTGACGCTCTGTGAGCCGTCAGGTTCGTACGTCTGGCTGCAATCATGCGCAGCTTCGAATAGCAGCTTCACTAGTTGCTGCTGACTATGAGAATCGGCTGGGAAGTCAGAACAATCACCCCTTGGGCGATTGTGTATTTTCAAGTATTGATCGTTGACTTGGCGAAAATGACCAAAGTCACGAATTAATCCTTGATAGGTGCCGCTATTTGAAGACATCATCTGCTCCATTTGCACCTGACCAGCTCCATTCATCTCTGTGCCCGACGTAGGTAACATAGCTGTGCCCATACTCCTTGACACTGTCTCGGGCATTTCCATCTGCGGGTACACGTTGGTGTTATAGTTATAGGAAGGAGCCGAGGTAGGGCATAGAGGATTTCTGTACTGTTCCTCCAGCTGAGTGATATAACGAGCCTGGCCGTTGGAGAACATGGTTTTCAAAGGGGTAGCAAGTCGGTGAAGCGATCTGGTGGAGCAAGTTGGAAATGTGTAGGTGCTAAAAGTGAGGTAATGAGTAGATGGAGACGGCAGATAGGCATTGGGTAGAGAAGAATGAATATCGGACGAATATTAGGGCATTTGTTTAGAGTATGAAGGGAATGGGTAGCCTCCAGTAGAGACGGGGGGTTGAGGGGTTCTGGTTTATATTAAATTTAAAAGAGAACGACTTACTCTAGGGAATTGTGACACGAGTAGCGGCTATGCTGTGTCGTGTAAGCAAAAGCAAGGGTGGCAAGGATATGAGCAAGTAGGATAGCAAAGAGGAAAGAAGAGCAATTGGTGATTGAGCAAAGCTGTGGACGACGAGTTAGAAGATGGGATGAACAACACGGGACTTGCCTAGGTTTATATGTGTGACCTTAGTCCCCACGAAGGGGGTAGAATAGAAGGCACACCTCCCAATTCGGAAGTTATCGTGAGTAACTTCAACAGGAGTAGAACAATACTAGTAATGAACATGACGCAGGGAGGTTTCGATGCCTGCCAATCACAAGGCTGAAAGTCTACTAGAATTTCTTCAAGGGCTAGTAATTGGACCTGATGGTAATTCGAGCGTAATGGATATTATCTGGTGACTTGGTGCTTTATCTGAACAAACGACATTATGTTCGATAATCTAGAAGAGTATATGTGCGCTAATATCGTGGACCCACGTCTTCCCGAGGCTGTGATTTGGCAATGTCACATACTAATGGGATGAATTCGACAGAGCTAAAGCAGGATTCAACAGAGAGAAGGAACACATTGGTCACAGGAGCCAATGGAACAGCAGAGTGATTCTGGTGGTCAGTAAGGTCTATCTAGGGTAATCTGATATTATGGTCCATGATGGGGAGATGTTGAAGTGTTTATTTAATTGAATGAATTTTTCGTCATCTCTAAGGAAGAAACTGAATTGGAATAGACAACTATCCTGACGAGTGGTCTCTGACGAAGAGAGAAACCCGACGGGAGTGTGAAAACGAAGTACTACACAATCCTTAATAATCGCTAGCCTTGTGATTCAGTTATCCAGAAAGGGGGGTGAGGCTAGATAAACTGTCATCATACGGACCAAGGCATAGCAAAACTTGCCCGGTAGGAATCTGAATACTGAACGTGTTGGGGAGTTCTACTTTTCATAGACAAGGAAATAATATGTGAAACGGAATTATCATTAATTTAATATATTAGGAGAAGATATAAGGCAATGGCACAAGGTTTTTCTTTTCTTTTTTGAAGAAAGAAAACCCCCAGGACGAAAAGATTGAGGGGTACTGAGAAGCAATTATTTCACGGTCGTAGTACATTTACCTCCTAAGGCGTCATGTGTTCATTTAGATTTGAGAGGTTAAGTAGTAGTAAATTCCCTTCAGATATTTTATGGGGTGATGTTAGTAATTCTGTGTCGACGATATCATGTTTGCTATTTCTGGTGTTTACCCCTTTATGTTTACCCCTTTATTTATGATCCAACCAAGTGAGTCAGGCAGGACCAATAGCATACTTGCGCTTTATGCCTTTTCAACAAATTGCCCATGGTGCCAGAGAAAATGGATTCGGATTTAACAGAAAGGACTTTCTAGCTCCCTTAGGGCTAGGTATCTGTTCACATCCTAAATTTCCAATTCGAATCCATGAGTTGTCGAAGTTGTATTAGTAGCATTAGTTAGTAGCTTTTTAAACTTCACTATTTACCTACCTATGCACATGTAAACACCTGACACCACCTGACGTGTGTGGTGATCCACTTGGCTACTGCTAGTACACAGGTAGGTTAGGTATGTAATACTTCCAAATTTGAAATCGATCCATATTGGAAAAACCTTGAACGTTTCACATTTTGGACTTACTTTGTGCTCCATCCAAAACCTAAAGCCCTTTCTTCAGAGTTTTTACGAAAAGGATAGCACATAAGGGAGCCATTCTTCTTCCAAATTCACAGAAACGTGTCTAGATGGGCTATGGAAACTTCAAACAGACAAATAATCATGATATTGCAAACGTAACAACCTATGACCACATACAACTCAGGAGCTTCAGTTTATTCACCAGGTTAAAGGAATTTATTAAAATCAATGGCCTCTGACGTTTTTACTTTTTGCTAAACCAAACAATAGACGCAAGCAAATTATTAAGGTAATTTATTTGACGGTTACCTACCATAGTCAGCTCTCAGGCGGTTTCGTAAAGGGAATCCGGTAAGTCCACGTCAGGTAGGGTTAACTTTTGTCGCAGCCACCACTGTGGAAAAGGAAACTCGTCCTGGTTTGATATCGTCACGATTTTATGCAGTTTTAACCAAGTGGCCTACAATTAATTTTCTTGGATAATAAAGAATGTATTGACTATCAACGTTATGCGTTATAGCAATATGGGTATCTTGCACCTGCAACCCCCGTTTTAAAGGAAGTGTAGATCTATGAAATCTAGTTCTGGCCCAGTCTAGGTCCAGTCTGTCTAACCAGTCTACCATCGAAATTGGTATGGAGCGAATCTGGCTCCAGTGACCTCGTTAATCGAAGCATTATCAAGTTTATGCACCTGTGGTCGTTGTTATGATCGTCAACCATATTATTGGTACCAACTAGAAGCAGTACAAGGAGTCAATAGACCCTTAGTTCTCAATCTCCTCGCGACTTCCAGCCTCATCGCTCTTCTCGCTCTTTTCACTGAGAGCCTTCTCATGAACCACACCAGCAGGGCCAGCAGAACGAGCCGCACCCCTAGCGGCAACATCGATAAGTCCGTACTTAAGAGCTTCTTGTTCAACCTCCTCAGGACTGAGAAGAGGTAGTTCTTCCGCAGCCTTGACATAAGACTTCTTCTCTACAAATCCCTTAGCGAAGATGATGTCAATCTCTTCGAGCGATCGCTTAGCTGTTTCGGGGTAGAAGAACCAGATGATGGGCAAGAAGCAAGCGTTAACAACGGCAAAGAACAGATAAGTGCCCCAGCCAATGTTGCTAATCATAATTGGCGTAATCATGACGATAAGGACTGTTAACAACTGATTAGTTACCTGACACATGTAAAAGAAAGGGGGAAGAGATTGACAAGCTTTGCCCGACGACTATTAGGGCGACGAGCTAGTGTCATGAAAAAGCAATAAGATCTAAGTCAGTACATACAGTTGAATAGCCAGTTCGTGCAAGTCGAGGTAGCGTTCGCCTTCGCACGGGTCTTGATGGGGTTGATCTCAGCGGGGTACAACCAGGGGAGCGGGAGCCAAGTCGCGCCAAATGAGGCGATGTAGGTCTGTTAATAAACTGTTAGCAAATACCATGTGGTTAACACATCCCATGAACAGAAAACTTACGAAAAGACCGACAGCTGCACCCTTAGCTGCGTTAGATGCTTGACCGGGAATATGAGGACCAGGAATAAGGCAAGCGAATGTGAGAACCATCGACAGGCACTGTCCGACAGTTCCGTAAAGGAATAACTTTCGTCGGCCAACCCGCTCGATGATAAACCAAGAGGTCGTAGCAAAGATAGCGTAGACGATCATGTTCACGCCACCCATGAGCAATGCCATGTTCTCGTCGCCCGGAGTGATGCTGTCCTCAAACAGAATGGGGAAGTAGTAAATAACAGCGTTGCAACCGCCAATTTGCTGCATCAACTGACTGCTGGAGCCAAGCAACATACGTCGGAAATGCTGAGTCTTGCCACCAGTGAAGAGGGCTTTGATCGGGGTGCTCTTCTGGCCGGAGAAACCACTGGCACGAATGGAGTCCAAGATGATGTCTCGTTCCGTGTGAGTCTCCTCGCTGCCCATCTCAAAACCTCGCAGGGCCGAGATGACAGTCTCAGCATCCTCATACCGCTCGTGGGTGAGAAGCCAACGGGGACTTTCGGGTAGGAAAATCATAGAAATGCACACGAAAAGACCGAAAATGATCTGGAAAGCGATAGGGAAACGCCATGAAAGGTCCTCGGAACCAAAGCTGCAGCCATAGTCGATCCAGTACGCAATCACAGTACCAAATGCGATAATACCGCCTTCGATACAGATGAGCAAACCTCGGTTGGAGGTTCTACTACATTCAGCTATAAAAATAAAAATATTAGAATTAATAAAAATCAATACAAAAATATAGAAATCCACATAGAGCCGCGCGGGAGTTACGTACCTTGATAAGTCGGAATAGTGGAGGTGTTGATACCGTTGCCGACGCCAGTGACGACTCTGCCAATAATAAATTGAGCTAGCGGTTGGTGGCCCGGGAACGAAGTGACTTGAATTGTGGCGCCGATAATCATGATGAATCCTCCTAGTATCATTGCCTTCCTTCTGCCCAGTAAATCACCGACTCCGAGAATGAACATGGCGCCAATGAGACATCCGATCTCGTAAATGGCGGTGACAAGACCTTGCATAGTCGGATTGCCTTTTACTTCTGTGAAGACATTTGAGAAATGGGTTGAGCCAATGATACCGCTCATTCTAGAACCAGGTTAGTATTTCTTTTTTTTTCTTTTTATAATTATGCCAAAGTAGGGTTAATTGGGACATGGTACGAGCCGTGTGCGACAATGTCGTAGTCGATGAACATGCGCAGGTAGCATCGTAGGGGAATTTTGGGTTGTATTGCAACTTACACTCCTTGATCGTAACCGAATAGCAAAAACCCGGTGGTAGCCACCGTACTGACCATCATGGACAACGACCGGCCCTGAAGGCCCATGTACGTCGGCGTTGTTCCCGGCGCCGCCGCCATGTTGAATTATACGGTTCGGAGATTAGTAGAAAGAGCCAACTCGTTGTAAAAATCCCGAGGGTTCACACAATTATGCAGGCGGATCTAGGTAACAAGATCTCTCTGATGGTGGCTTCGGCGAAAATGAGGGGTGAAATTTGACCGGCTCCGGATTTTCAATCTAGTACCAGACTGAAGGGACGCATGGAGGTGTGGGAGTAAGACCTGGAGAGTCCGGAGAAGGGCGGGCCTGACCCTCATATAAATGATGGAGAAATGATCCAAGTTTGTTTGCTGACAAAGGTCATTAGACACGCAGACACCTTGACACTGTATGCAGACAAAGCCAAGGAAATCAAAAAGGCTCGTGAGAGGTGGAACTAGACCACGCAGGCCACGCTAAACTGTACGTTTGCACGAGAAATACAGATGGTTACAGATGGCTACAACTACAAAGGTGGTACTAAGGCTAGCTCTCAGACTCATTATGGATCTTTGAACCACTCTTGAACCACGCTTGAACCAAGCTTTTGTCTATGCGTACCAGTTGGCCAGTTGGGATTACAACTCTGCAAGGCCCTGCATGCCTGTTGGACCGGGGCCGAGTTAACCGCTGATCTTGCCGATCTCTAAAAACTTTCCCTTTGACTACATTTAGCTACCTTTGTTAAACATGGTTGTTGGTGGAGTCGAGTCCCAATACGTTTATACGGCTGGTTTCCGTGTTAGGCATGTTTCCACCTGTCATGGTATGGCAACCGGAGAGATGAGGTCATGTTCTTAGTATCCTAGCACGTCCTAGCATTGTCCGTCATTGTCCCATTATTCCCTCGGTTCGGCTAAGAGGATGCTAAGAGTAAGATTTGGCTTTGGGCTGAGCTAACTGGTTGAATTCAGGGGGCCCAGCGGCATTCCCCCATGTAAGGCATGCAAGGTAACGGAATGGCTTGCCTTAGATACCTAAAAATGATACGCTAGAATCGGTCTAGTCCACAGTCCGTTTAGTTTGTCTTCAGTCCCTTCACTCAGTTGGGCCAGTCAAAGTTCAATTTAGCAAAAGTCGCCGAGAAAGCTTTGTTGTAAAAGGGAGATGTTGTAATGTCATACATGATACACGAGGTTGCGTGTTATATTTCTTTGCTGTGAATAAAAACATGATGAAAAGGCTACGCAATAAGTGGAATCGAGGGTCGTGGTCTACCTAAAGAATGACTTATCGACAAAGATTTAAAAAAGGGTGTGCAAGATCCTGACTCCTGAGCTGACGCAGAACTATTATATACGAAGTACAATATGTAAAATCATCAACTGTACATTTGTGGCGTTTTCGGCTTTCCCGAGTAAGTACAACCGGCTAACTGATATCTGATCGTCACCGACTATTTCCGTTGCCGTTCCTTGAATCCTTCAAATCTCCAAATCTATGCGGGGGTTAGGAACGACTTTTTCCCCCTCGATGGGTCCTTGCAACTTCTTGGGGGTACCCCAGGCTTTTCCACCTTTCCTAACCCGTTCCCACCTCGCCTCGGGTCCCAAGAAGCCAGGATTACCAAGGCAAGGGGGCCCTACCTACATACGTATCTACCACAGCAGAAACCCCCGCTGTAACCGCACACCGTGGTTTTACGTGGGGCTCCAGAGTGGATGATAGAGTGGATGATTTAGTGGAGGTTTATTTCCACTACACGCGCAATACCCAACGATATCAACGATATCCAGCAATCCTCCACCTTCAGGGTCCACAATCGCCATCTAATAGCCCTATTTCCCGGCCAGAGTTCGGTGAGATATTCCAAGGTCTTACCTCGTTGGAAAGATGCAGCGCGGATGATACAGCCTGCATGAATTCTCAAGTATTACAACTAAAAAAAAAAATCCCATGCGCGTCACATGAGTGAGAACTGACGAGACTTGTACATAAGAGATTATGGTTGGAAGAAACTCGCAATCATATGCCCTCCTTCCCCAAACGCACCGACAATCGCCTAGTTATACTCAAACAGGAAGATGATGTTCAAGAGCTGCCAAACTAGCAGAGACGCGACGCCGCTGCGTGTTGATCTGAAGGTTGGCTGGCTGTAAATCCACGCGGCTACATTGTTCTTCCAAGTCTACGGGATGAGCTAAAGCACGATTTGTCCCGGCCGGTATCTCGCGTCAGGCTATGTACAAGCATGCACTAAAATTCTTGTCGATCGACATCAATCATGGTCGGTGGCTTTTCTGTTTGCCAGAATCGAGTTAGTATGAAACATATAATTTGAAATAAATTCCACAACATTAGCTAAAATCTCAAAAAAGAAAAAAAAACAATAATAATATTAACTAAGTTCACGATGTTTACAAAGATCCGTACATAGCAATTAGTAATAAGAGGAACGGGAAATAAAAAGTACGATTTTTATTAAAATTTGTAAGAAATATTCGCCAGGTCCGAGGGGAAAAAGACCTCCTCGTGTTTATTTGGAGAAAAGACAGGCAAGTTTCAGCTCTTCAAATTTCTCGTTATAGTAAGCCGGAGGATAGATAGATCTTCATTCTAACCAAGAGTGATAGAAAAGGGGTACACATGGTATATATAATACGAGCACTCCAATACGCGGCGCTTAAGATGGCTTGACAACGTGAAAATGAAGTCATTATGCATACGAAGGATTCTTGCGAACATTAAAAATTCGAGCTATCACATGCTTATCTTAATGCTTTTTTTACTAACTATGTACGAATGAATAATATGTGGATAAGGGCTCGTATGTAGTATAGTGTATACACATACACAGATCTAGATATTACGAATAATACAATGCACGTGGGACGGAGGTAACTGTCCCCCTTACATCCTTACGACGTGTAACGGGCCACCAAACTTCCCCAGGACCCTGTGAAATCTGGCTGTGTGAGGATGTTGGTTCCGTCCCCGAGACGGAGAGCCGTCCGAGTGCTCTTGGAGCATATGCCGTATGCCTTGAGGTTTGCGGGTGTCTGGGCAATCCAATGCATGTAGTCTACCGTAAAAATTAGCAGCTGATGCAGGAAATAGGAGATTAAATCACTTCTTAACTTACCCTGGCAATCTCCCGAACATCCCTGGTTGGACGGGCCGCTAAAGAAGGCCCAGGATGCGGATGCGTACGTGTATATATCGGAGCCGCCTTGGATGTAGTTTGCGAACCCCATTCGACATCTAGTATCTCCACCACTACACCATGAGAAATCCGGGTCTCCCCAGTTCTTCACATCCGCTGTCCAGGGAGCTGGCGGTGTTTGCTGAACGTTATCGCCCTGGTCATAGTTCGTTTCCGACTGCAGCAAGCTAACCATGACGTTTTTCGCGTTCCGCAAGTTGAGCTGATATAGCCACCAATGTTCACTGCCGAGCGCGTGGAGCCAGGTGCCTTTGGTAGACTCGACAAGAGCGCCGCCTTTCGCAGCTATATTGCAACCGCCGCTCCCCTCGGTGAAGTGGTCGGCAACCCAATTCCATACATTTTCAACGTACACCGATGAGCCAGAAGTGAAATGTAATCCAAGGAATGCCGCCTGACATTCGTGACTCGGATCGCCGCAAGCGTTAGCAAGCGCAGACGCTCCGAGCGTGCCACCGACGGTAATTAGCGAGTTCCACAAGGCCACGTCCCCGGGAGACGAGCCTGCAATGTTAAATTGTAGAATGATGGCACCAGGAAGGACATCGGAGACAGTGAACCGCATGTCTTGGATCTGAGCCGTTCCAACGTCGCCATTTTTGCCGACAGAGACAACCGGTCTCGGATTAGCCGAGTCCTTGAACTTGGCGCCGTTACCAGTGATCGTCGCCCAAGCTTCGCCAACAATACGCGAGCCTTTCGGGATGATTAATGTATCGTCTACTCTATACTTGCCGAATGGGAAATAAGCAATCTTGTTATTATCTGCTGCATGTTGTAATACTTGGTTAAGCACCCCCGACTCGTCCACACTGTTGTCTCCCAGTACTTTGTGACCGCCGTTTTGGGCCGAGTCTTTCACGTTGATAAAGTCCGAGACAGGGTTCTTGGCATAGTTGGGAGCGGGGACAACTGGATACCTGCCATTCGGTGCCAAAGCAGCGGGTCGGTTCAATGATGAGGACACGGGGCCGTAGATAGGATTTCTGTTCACGGTGTTTCCATATGAATAGTTATCCACATGACTTTTAGGACCCAGTGCTGTGTCTCCTCGCACATGAGCAATATCCGAGTTAGTATCTTTGTCCAGGTTCTCGATTAGGAATGATGGGTATCCTATTGGCCTGTTGTTAGTCTTTGTCAACCTGACACTGTGTTACGAAGGGGCTGCGATCGTATCTTGGGTCTCGCGAATAAAACGCATTGAAAGATATGCAGTAGAGAAATTATAAGGGTCAACCCCGTGGGGTCAGCCCTTAGTAAGGACGACGATCACTGACCTGAAGTTATGAAAGTTACGCCGGAATTGATGGATTTTGTGTCAATAAGTGCAACCCACGGGGCACCGCCATCATGCTGAACTGCGGTTCCGACGGTTTCAAACGTCGCGCCGATAATGCTAATAGTATTCCCGCCGTTTATCAGCATACCGACCGTGTTTTCGTGAAAATAAATACTCTTGTAAAGGGCTTGCTGATGACCATTATGCCAAATCCCGTTCTTGATCGACTTTGTTAGTAACGTTCCCACCATGTCAACAGGAAGAGGGTGTTATGCTATGTAATTACCTGTCCGCGTTCGACTCGAACGTCAGCTAGACCGAGAGTAGAGCCCCTCGTAAGTTGGATACCAGTATGTCCCTTGCCGTTAACAGATGATGCCATAACAATTCTGACATTCTGCAACTGTGCTGCTTGGGCAACTCCCCAGCCGAGTGCAGTAAATTCGTTACCTAGTAATCATTATTAGAAACAGATCCGAACACTCGTCATAATGCCAAAATAATATTACCTCCTGGAATACTAGTAGTGTCAAGTATTATATTTTTAATCCCAACCGCAAAGGAAAGTTCCCCCCTCCCACCAGTTCCCGGATCCTGACCTTTAACACAGTTAGAAAAGTCCACACCCTCTTCTTATATCAGGACAGGCTTACCGGACAGGAGGGTTTGCTCTCCCGAGAAACCGGCTGCAGCTTTGATTGTAGGCGGCTGACTGAAGTTAGTGGGCATAGGCTAGAGGTAACTTATACACTCACGTTTGTGGCATCACCCATGAGAATAGTATCGGTGTTCATACGAATGGTCTCGCTGACTTCGTACGTCCCAGGTGGGATATAGACTACCTAATTATACCTTAGCCGACGATCAATAACCTTCATAGAAACCTCATACCCTTGGTTGAGACGCCAACCATTGAGAATGCCGCGTATTACCACTTCCCGCGTCTTTTATGGCGTTCGCGATACCAGGGCCATCGCCGGGATTCACAGCAATATATACGGGATAGCTGTAGTCGTCGCCCAGGTCCGGCGCATAGCCGCGAGCCTGGCCTGTGTGGTCCATATTGGCATACCAGAAGCTAGTAGCCCTCTTGGAGATGGTTTCGGTATCTCCTGTACCCCATGGGATACTGTAGCATGAAACCCTCCCCAGCAGAGCAGCAACGAAAAGCTTGAGGACAGCCATATCGAATATTCGTTAATGTATGAGCCTATGTTGAGACTCAGCAAGCTACCTAAGCTAAAATATTTACCTCGCAAAGCTAGCGAGTGAAGTTATATATGTGAGGTGCATTGGGCCAAACACTGGCGGCACTTCTAACGGGGCTGATGAGGATGAGGGCCGCATACGAGCTTTGCATTCGGAAGCTACTTTTGATGACGCCAGCAACACCTAGGGTCATGAATATTCATACAATCTAGTAGTTGAAACTGTGCTAGAGGTTCATGATGGCGTCGGATTTATTTGATTACAAAGAAGTCGAATGAAGCTCAGCATTTACTCATATGCCTACCTAAGGTACATATGTAAGACTTACGGCAATTGAAGATGACATTTCACCTTGTGGGGAGTGGTTGTTGTATTGTCCTTTCCCAATAGCCGTATTTGATTTATGGTTGTCCATTATTGTTTCCATAATAGTTAGCTCCATTATCCAATAAGGAGGGCACATTGCATCCGGTCAGCTGAAGTCACTCCGCCGCATTAATTACATCTATCTCACTTTACCTCTCACCGTGGCATTGATCACACCCCCTGAATCTTATGGGAGATTTTGACCTTGCGTAAACTGGTCAATAGTTCAATGATTTATTCACTTGTTCACCTTAATATATTGATGCAGATCATATAGAAATAGCCTACTTCACGTCATGATGGCATATCCTCTGAAAGACTTCAGTTGGTTATGGTACATCGCAAAGAGAGCTGCTACATATGTTCTACGGACAATTTAGCGAAAGAGTTACTCCGAGTCTACTACATTTCAAGGTAGCGGCCACCGCTATGTAGCTATTATAAGGTAGGTGGATTTGCAGTAGCCCGATATAGAACTAGACCTTCCCTTTCGAAGATTGCCAAGGCAAGGGAACGTAGCAAATTGAGCTAACTTTAGATTTAGATTCGACGATAACTACCCCTATACTTAGGTAGGTTATATACTTAGGTAGGTACCTAACCTATCCATGCAATCCTGTGTCAATATTATGCATTCGAAGCTTTTTATTCTACGAACCCTTCAATTCTAATTTCTGAGGATCAAACGCAAGCATTGTGTTATATTCTAATAGCCAAATTCATACATCTTTGATTAAATAGTTGAAATGTTTTAATACTAATTACCTACCTAACCGGCCTAGGTATATATTGCTTGTCTTGTTACTATCTTCTAATAATGTTTAAACTTGTACAAACCGAAAATAGCAGTTATTCATCCAGCTAGCTGATTTATAATGATTCTACTATTATTAGTTAGATACTTCTCTTACTAAACTTGCGGAACTGGTGCGCTATACGGTCACCTATTATATGAGTTGACAAATATTAAAGCAAACTGGGTCAATAGAACGTATTGAATAGTTACCAACCTTGCTGAACATTGGCTAGGAAGTATCCTCCCGAGAAGATCACCATGCTTAGAAGTTCTGACTCAGATACGAAACTATTATGCACGCATGATTTAATAAGTTTGACATCGACGATGAGCTTCATGATTAATCAAGACCAAAGATACATACGTAGTACTGGGTTTTATCAAGTTTCCACGCTAATCAATTTAGGTAACCTACCTAAGCTGCCTGATAGATTGCACAAACCCTCGACGACAGTTTTCACGTCCTCAAATTGTTTGCTTCTCTAGCAAACGTATAGTTATCCGCTTACCCGTTTTGATACTAAGAACCAGCAATTCGGCATCGCCCCGTTCTTGGTTTCTTGTGCAACAGAAATGTGTTAAGTATACTAGCTTCTAGGAATTAATCTGCTTTATGTCGATCTGTGCAGTCTGAAAATGTAGGGAGACTCTATTAGTCTAGGAGAGGTTCATTAGGTAGGTCATGGGTTGGTTAGAGTACAATGGTTTGTCTTCTTCTTGACTCCGACTGAAGCTACACCGACCGAAAGAATCGAACGGACCATGGTAATCTTGGTAATATCACGTCAAGGATAAGTGTTTTCTAGCATATTAAAACGTATCCCTGTCGTCGGGTTCTTAAGGCATTTATATTAAGCTTATGATACTTTCCTTGGAACCTACTAGGTTAGACTCTTGTCACCGGATTGACATCTTCAACCTCATCTAGCTGTAATGACCTATATCAAGATAAAATAAAGATATAATTTTACAACGATGTTGCCATCCTCCATAGTATATAATAGGGACCATCCCAACTTTAGAATTACTTCCCAGCTCGGCCACCATACTGTATCACAACCCGTTCGTTACCTGTAAAAAAAAAAGAGGGGGGGACGCCTACTGCAGTTTAATCTTCGATGGGACGAATTAGTCCGTATTGATCCATATAGAGTGGCTTGGTAGATGTAGTTATGTAGCTGTATGTCCAAGTTAACATAATGAATGACTAGTGGCAACGGGGAGTACCTAGGCGTAAATAGAGAAGCAAAAATGATTGATACTTACGTGCATCGTCCGTCATTCTCGCGGTCAAAGCCCCCTCTCATAGCCCAGAGGCTCTCCATTTTGAGTCGATGCGGATTCTTCGGTTTGCCCTCGGCAATCCGTTTCTTCTCGAAGTAGACATAAGCAGCATAGAAGACCGGACTGGTGCAGCCAGAATTGGCACCTTTCTTGCCACGGAAATCGGCCAGTTGCTTCGACTGGAAACATTTGCCTTTGGGCTGTCTGAGTTGTGCATATATATCACGGCAAAACTGTGCGGCGGTCAAACCCGGTGTTTTGAGATGCGCGTTGATCTTCCTGCGAACTTCGTCGCATGTGTCGTATACTGGAACAGAGTCGGTCTCTTCACCAGGTAGAGTAATATTGCTAATATCCGTCCCGGAAACTGGTGGCACTGTCACCTTGCTGGCGCCACTGGACCTAGCGGCAGCGGCTGCTTCGGTCTTCTGTCGCTTTTTCACATCTGGCATCTTGAGACCAGCGATCTCTCGCTGTTTGAACCATTTCCAGGCGCTATAATAAACGGAACTTCCGGCCCCATCCATGCTTCCCCTCTTAGATAGAAATAAGTTAAGGCTTCTAAAGTTGCTGCCGATGGCATCGCAGAACTCGCCTTTCTTCATGATGTCGCTATCCAAAAGCTTGTTGATTTTGCCTCTTACTTGATTACAACTCATATCCATAAACATATGATCAGTTTCGATGTGGGAAAGGTCCTGCTTGTATGCGGCAATGTCATCGTCTAGCGACGTCTCCGACTTGCGTTTCTTGCCAGCGGTAGCAGCGACCTTCGGGGCCGGTACAATGGCTTCGGTCACGGGAGGTCCGGCAGCGGGAGGTTGTCCGGTAGCCTTCTTGCCCGACGGCGGAAGAATGGGAGTCTGGTTTGCCCGACTACTGGCATCTTGAAGGGCTGGCCGCGCCGCCTATATTTTCGTTAATGACTTAGAACTATCTTATTAAATGCGGGGCTTACTTTACCACAGAGTCTTTAGTTGCCATAATTGTAGCTCCTGAAGTTTATCGTTTTAAGCTTGGTTTAAGATTATAACTAATGATAACTGTAAGTTAAAAATCTATAGTTATATTTTGTTGTAGGACTACCAAACATAATATTATGTACACAACACACACAATATAAAGACGCGACAGTTTACATCGAGATCACTACGCGACAACGCGGTGGTTCGTGCTGAACAGGGCCAAGCTTTGACGCTAACGATGAATTGACGTCACTTAAACATCATTAAGATCAATAATCAAGATGATCAAGATGATCTAACTAAACGATAATCCTAAACCTTCCATATGAATACAATCCAAACACGCTTTCCTAGCATATCTATAACCCAACGCCAATCTTCATATATCATACATAATAGCTCTTGAATTATTTATCGGAGGCGGCGGTTCTGCTTAGCGCCGTTGCGCTTCTTTAAGCGATAGGTGATTGCCCGCTTGCGTGCAGCAGGGGACTGTGTAAAAGCCGCTGAGCCTCCAAACGGTCCTGCAATGGCTTGGTTTCGAACTCTCACGATGCAGACGTTCTGAGCGTCACCGACGGTAGCGTCGCAGGTCATCCCCTCGGGCATCTGTACGGTCAAAGGAAAGTCCGTATTAGTGGCCGTGGATAGTCCTAGGAAACCTAGGCCCGGAACATCCTGAGTTACTTCGGCGGTCTTGAACGCGTTAGGGTCCTGACCGCCCGAGGTTCCGTCGACGGCGGCCTCCATCGGACCAGCACCATCTTGGTTGATTTGTCGGAATGTCATGGTGATTGAACCATCATCCGCACATGTAGGGAGACCCGACGTGGCACCCTGTCCAGCCGTGGCGGCAACCGAGGTTTCTTCAGGCGTCTCGGTCTTGTTGCCCGCGCCGGTCTTAGCTTTGTTACTACTAGTGCGACCACCAGTAAGCCCTGAAAGCAAGTCGCTCAGTCCTCGAGGGGAGGAGGTGCTCTTCTTTGCTACGTTCCCCGGAATGTTGTCCTCCACACCGGTGGCAGCAGCAGAACCATTGTTGGTTGGAACCGTTGTGCCTGCTCCCATGAAACTCTGGATCATGACGGCGGCGTCGATGGGTCCGTTACCTTGGGTCCGGCCCAGAGCACTCGCCTTGCCCGATTCTATCTCACGATCTCTGATGATTGCTGTATCGGCCTGTGACCCGCAAGAGTTGGAACTGCAGTCTCGGGGCGTACCATCGGCAACTATTTCTAATCAGTACACAACGTCAAAAACACGGGATGGATTCTTAACATACCGCTCAGTCCGGGCATCACTACGCCATTTGCTCCTTTGATAGATGTCACAAGACCGTGACTATAAACAGTGGCAAGAAGGCTGGAAGTAGCAATAAGTGAGTACCGCATTTTGACGACTTGGGGAGTTAATAAACAGGAATTATGACGTTAAAAATATACCACCAGGGCTGTCCTCAAGACAATAGAAGGGAATTGTGGATTAAATGGATAGTAGTTGGAGGTTTTGGTGTGGTGCAGACAAGAGTAGAATTGCTGAACTGCGATTCATTTCGAGTCTTATATACACCATTTTGGCTGAAGCAAGTTCTTTGGCCTGCAGCAGGTCGTGCGTCTCAATATCAGTTACACCAGCCATCATGCCGACTTTGAACCAACAGCTTCTATTTTGCGTGAAATATCGTCCGAAGTTTCCGAAACGATGGACAAAACAGAGAGAAATAGTTTCGTATCCAATCGCATTCCAGCATCTAGATGTTCCCACTTTTCAGATCTAACTAGATGATCGCCTCCTTAGCTTTAAGACAAGCATTTATACTCATTAAGGCTTAGCTATGATAATGCGTGAAGCTATCACGTTTCGAACTATCCGAGTCCTCTCAAGGGCGCTAGAAAAGACATGGAATCTAGCAACTTTTTAGAATCACGTTTACATAGCATCGATATACCTAGCGCAGAACGCCAAGTCCCTTAAAAAATTTTATTTTTTTATTTTGGAGAACCAGGACGACCCTAATTGAATAGTTATCGAAATAATCTCTTAATAATACCGTACAGTTATATTTAATTGCAGTCTAATAACTACCTGACCTTCATGTTTTTTCATCATTCTTTTTATATTTTATGTCTCTTTTACGGCCATGTCCCAACGCAACTACCGCTCGCCAAGAGAATTCTGAGGCTCTCAGGTTGAGACACTGTAGCAAGGGCTCAAACATCCCCTGGGAAAATCTGTTTCTGGGGAGACTAAAACTAAGATGATTAGCCAATCGGCGAAGCCTTCTTTACTCGCATCAATACCTCTTTTAGACCCTGTTCCGAATTCTGTTATCGGAGGAGGGGTAATGTTATTAGCAACCCTAAGCAAGTTACATCATCTCCTTATATTCTACGCATACTATGATGTGCTGCTACCGATGCGGTTAACGGGAACCTGCCCTTGAGGAGATCTTTGCGAATCCCGAGGATCATTTGAGATTGCTGGGCTCCCAGCCAATATGTATCAGATATCCCAGTCCCGTCCATCAGCCAGTCAGAGCCTTAGCTAAAGTCCCATAGTCTAGGGACTTGATTATAAACAATTCAATACACACGATGGCGGTTTAGATTGTACCAATCGCAACACTTGCCAGTTTTTGGCGCATTGGTCTCAGATCTGCTGTCTCCACGATTACCACCGTGGCACAAAGTAACATATCGAATCGGGTATGATACATAGGTACCTAACAGGTAGGTATATTGGAAATGCTACCTACCTTGCTGTCAACTTAAAACCAACCATATATGTGAGTGAGCTGAAAGATCCGTGCTCTACTCGGTAGATGATAATATTCTATCCTATTATATCAAAAGGTATGTAGCGTATCTGTAATACGTCATAAAAGGAGAAATGATTATAAATATGCTACACGAACTTGACGTGCGATAACCGCCTATTACATACCGGCCCATGTATGCCGAAGGGATCTATGATACATGAATCCCAAGTTTCGATAGACTACGCATAAGGAAATAAGCGCGAGGCGGTATTAACCAATGCGTAACCAAAGCAGCCTCGGGTTTCGTATCCAAGGGAATAAATATAGATTACCTATATTGTGTAAGGGGTTGGGAAACTTATATCTAAGTGATCCTCTGCATATCCAATGACAGTAATCTCCAATCGTAATTCTCTTTGCTACACTTAGCATATAGTAGGTCTCGCCCTTATTCTAGTATCAGCCAGTTTAAGCTTCCGCAATCCTGGAGTAGTAGTTGTTCTTGATCGCGTCGTTATCCGAGCCGGTAGTCCTCATGCTCGCAGCACCTGGTATAATACATACGTCAAGATATTACTGGCGGCGAAAGAATATTGCCTTATCAGACTTTAACATTCGCCCCCGTCAAACTAACTATTCAATCATATCTAGGCCGTTGTAATTGACGAGAAAGGTATAGGTGGGTTCCTCTTTGAATCTACGTTAACTCTTAGAGTCCTCCTATGACTTCGGTACAGTTCTCTGCAAGACTAATACGTTGGTTTGAGATTTTCATTTACCACGCGGTCAGTCTCCATAAATATCTCCGAGCTGTCAAGTATGGTAGCTTTGATAGTGACTTCGTTGAGGGTTGCTAATCAAATTAAGTCCTGGTATGTAACATATTTAATTCATCGTATATAACGGTATTTTTAGATTTTTACTGTTCATTTTATATGTACCTAGATACGATGTGATATGGTCGCTTACTTTGCTCTCTTCGCCTCCAAAATACTAAGTTCCTAACCTAGGGGTCACTAGTATGAGATGGATATCCATCATCCCCATAGTCCTTGCCAAGCAATAAGTCAAAGCACCCTTACAAGGGCCACCCTAGTGGGGGCCACTTTAAATTTTTAAACCTTTAAAATAAGCATTTTAATTTTAATTTAACGTTATTTAATTAAATTAAATTTAATTAATTTATAATTTATTATATTTTAATAATAATATAGTTTTTTACTATTGATTTAATTAATAAAGTTTTATTTTTTAAATTAATATTAAAATTATTAATTGTAATTATATAATTTAATTTTTAAGCTTTTAATTACTTTTTCTTTTTTATAATAGCTTTAATATTTATAAATATTAAATTTAAATTAGGTAATATTTTATATTATTTTTATAACTTTATATTTATTAATGCTTTTTTTAAATATTTGACGCGGGTTTTTATTATAATTAATTTTATAATAATGAACTGGTGTGGTGCCATATCGCCAAAAGTAAGGATATTATTATGTAATTTTAAGTTATAAGTCATATAAAGGTTTAATATTTATTGTATTCTTTTGATCAAATAGTCACGATTATTATTATTTAATTATACATTTAATATAAATATATTTATTATTTTTCCATATTTATAATTTATAACCTTATCTTACATATTTATTTTATATATTTTATTTGATTAATAGATCTTTATAGTTTTTTTAAAGTATAATATTATTATTAACTATTTAAGGCCTTTTACAAGGATTTAAACGTTGAAGTAATATGTTATATTTTGCAAAAGATATTAACTCTTGTTTAATAGCAACTATTACGGGATTTGAATCCGTAACCTTAATTTTAAAAGGATTATTAAGTGTTAATTAGTAAGAATGGTTTTAAGAGTTAAGAAATTAATTTTAAATATTTATTAAAAAAATTTATAAGAAAATAAAAAGATTATAAAAATTTCGAAAATTGTTAAACATTTAAGATAAACTATTATTAAACTATTATAAAAATCTTTTTATAAATTAATATTACCTAATTAAAGATACTTTTATTAATATAAAATAATTATAACTAAAATATGTCAAAAGAATATTAAAAATAATTATATAATATAAAATTATTTACAAATTAAATAATTAAAAATAATAATTAATATTATAAAACCTATAGATTAAAAAATATTAAAATATATAATTAAAAATAATGTATAATTATGATGGAGTTATTATTAAAAGATATAAAATTAATACTTTTAAGGATTATAGTTAAAATACAATTAAATATTAATAAAAAAAAAGATATAAATTGGAATATAATATTATAACTATATTATTAAGATAAATAATTTATGGTTAATAAGTAATAAAATCTAACGTTAAAAGATTTATTTATTTATTATTTTGGATATATGGAAGAATCCATTAATTAAAATATTAAAATAAAATAAATGGAATATTATTAAAATTATTATAGTAATTTTATTATTACTTACCTTAATATATTTTTAAAAGATATAAATAAAGGCTAAATTAGTAATTACTTATTTATAAGTTAAATTTTACGTTAGAAAAAAAATGTTATACGATAGTTAAGAAACCGATCAACCTTTAATAGATAAAGATAAATATTACTTTTACTTTTGTATTAAAAATAAAGGGTAAAGTTATTAACGCAAATTATTAATAAGTTAGATATTTTTTATATCTTTATTATAATAAAATATTAATTAATTTTTTAAGAATATCCCTAATTAGCTTTAAGCCGGTAATACTAATTTAAAAAATTAATTAATATAGTAAAGAATAATATTTAAATTAAAAGCATAACTAAGCCTATTATCTTTTAAAAATATTATTTTACCATTTATTAGTATATTTTAAGTATCATTAACTACCGGTTTTATTTATATTAATTAGTCAGAATTTAAAACATATAGGGATATTTTAATTATACCATCTAATAGTGAAGGCAATTAAAATAGCAAATTTTTAAAATAACCCTTAAGTCTTAAATAAATACGATTAATAACGCTTATTAATTAGTTACGATAAGTTATTATCTAAAATTTTAATAAAAGAATATCTAATTAACGTAGAAGATTAATTAATATTTAATTAATTATATACCAGGATTTTATTAAGAATATACCCATTATATTAACCACTATCCTAGTTTTAACAACTTCGTTAATAATATAAATACCGGCTTTTAATCAAAGATTGCTAATTTATTTGTATCAAATTATCTTGTTAAACCTGTAAAATCATAAAGATAAATTATTTAATAAAATAAATGTTATTTAATAGTTAAAGGATATTAATGAGATTCTCTACCAATATAAGGTAATTGATTATAACTGGATTAAAGAGATCCTAGTATGGATTGCTAATAATAATATGCGCAAAAAGGTTAATATAGTTATTAATAATATAATTATTTAAAATAAGGCTTAAATCTTATTAAAAAAGGAATTTGCCACACATAACCCATATTAATATAGATTATATAAGTTAAAATTAAAAGATCTTAAAAATAAAAGCGTTTTTAATGACCTTATCAAATTTACGGATTTAATCAGGAATTATGCAATTTTTTTTTAAGATATTAAATCGAATATAATATAAAACATTAATCTTAACAACTATATTAATATTATCTTGGGATAAATCAATAATAATATCCTAAAAGATATTATCTATTATACCTATTCCTTTTTTACAAATATTTAAGTTATATTATTTAATGTAATTAAAAGTATGATATATAATTAGGTTAGTGAAGAAGTTAAATTATTAAACCGTTATTATAATAATAAAAAGGTTAAGCTTTAAACTTCCGATAATATTAAAAATATTTTTTAACAATTTATTGATTATTTACAAAAGAATAGCGTTAGTAATTAACCCTAATTTAAGATTTTTATAAAAAATAATAAGTTATAAGATTTATTGATTATAGAGAGTTTAGCAAAATATTTCAATATTATATAAATTAACATGTAAAAAGCCATAACAGAACAGATTAAATAAGAATTAATAATTATTAAAAGTACGTTAGGAATATTACCTTATATAATAATGCGTGACGGATGTATAGCGTACCTTAGTTAGCCTATTAAAATTAATTAAATTCAAACCTATAGATAACCCCAACTTTTTAATTATTATATAAAAGGTTATGATCAGGTTAGACTTTTCCTTCCATATGTAATTAATTATTTGTTTAATATATATTGGTTTTATGGTATTTAAGGAAATATATATATACGTTATACAGTATCTTTATATCTAATAGCATATAATATGGCTGT